ATCATGGCTAGTCAGTGCAGTTGGATATTTATATGGCATTTTATGTGTTGGTAACCCTCAACGCACAGTGAAATTACCAGCTCCATGTTCTTTTTAAGAGCCATATAGACAGACATAGATAGATAGATAGACAGATATCATTAAATATCATTACGTATCAGCGACTCCTCCCCCCTTTGTGCTGTCAGAGAACTTGCTGAGGAGGCCTCTGTCCCTTCATACAAGACAGTGATGAACAAGTTTAAACAATACTGGGCCCAGTACTTTACCCTGGGGGACACCACTAGCGACAGGCTATAAAATGCTCCAGGGAGACTTTATTGCAGCCTTGCAGTACTTAAAGGGGGCTTATGAAAATATGGAGAGTGACTCTTTACACGGGCTGGTAGATGGTGATAGGACAAGGAAGAATAGTTTTTAACTAAAAGAGGGGAGCTTTAGATTAGATACTAGGAAGAAGTTTTTTAATGAAAGGGTGGTGAGGCTGTGGATGCCAAATCCCTTGGAAGCATTCAAGGCCAGGTTGGATGGGGTCCTGTGCAACCTGATCCAGCTAGGTGATATCCCTGCCCATGGGGTCGAGGTGGGAACTACATGATCTGTAAGTTCTTTTGCAACACAAAACATTCTATTATTATGTGATTTCATAATGTTCTAGGAAAGACTGGTGGAACATGCTTCTGGGAAGTTTTGAGGTGTCTGAGGAGAGGACAACATCCCTGGAATGGGCCAGATTGAACAACTTGAGGTTTTATGTGTGTGCTCAGTACAGTACGTAAGTCTGAAATGAGTTGTAGTAGGTAGATAGATGAAGAAATTTTTTTCAGATTGAGTATTTTATGTCCTTTCTCCACTGTTACTGCTGTGGTTTAGCTTGTCTGTAAATTTAACACCCTTGGTGGTAGTGAGTTGAAGAACAACCATTGGATGTGCTGAATGAGTCATTTCCTCCTCCCAGTCATTTGATGCTCTCTCCACCTGAAGGGCTCTGTAACATTTCTGTGTCTATTTTATTTCCAGGTTTAATCTGCACAGGCAGCATGTTGCTGCTTCCAGTCCTTCTTGCAACTTTATTTTGGTCCCGTAAGCTCTTTTTTCCTTTCCCCTCTTCTTCCTGTGTACAGTGAATACAGTCCTGATTCCAAACTCCAGGAGCTTATCCCTCACATAATTTCTCTGCTTCCACTTCCAGGTGGAGACATGCAGTCAGCGCCAGTGCAAACCCCAGAGATGCACCATCAGATGAAGGGCAGATCTGCCAGCATGTCATGCCGACTGATGAACGAAGACATTGTGCACTGGTACAAGCAGCTTCCTGGAGAGCCACCGAAGAGGATACTGTACCTGTCAGGACATACATCTGCTTTTGATGACAGCAATGATAGAAATAGATTTGAAGTTCGAAAGGATGCTACTCAGCCCTTATATGGTCTCACGATAAAATCTTTAACCCCAAGGGATTCTGGCACTTACTACTGTGCATATTGGCACTACACCACAGCATTAGTCGATCAAAGATAAGCCATACAAAAAGATACTTTGTGCTTTGAACCACAAGCTCTGAACTCTGCAGCAGGAGAGGAAAAACAGCATCTTATGAAAACTATTAAATATATAATGTTAACTATCACTATATCACTTCAGTACTCACATGTATCTGCAACATCCAGAAACTGGAGTCTTCCCATCTCTTAAAGGTAGATATATGAAACACTGCTCTTAAAATGAAGGCTTAATTTTACTGAAAGCACTCACCTGACAGTGAACACAGCCAGTCTCTGTGTGGGAGCTATAAATCCCTTCTCTGTTAAAATGCTAGCAAGCAGAGCAATGTCTCCATCCCCTTAGTGCTTTCTTTTGAAAAAAAAGACAGGAATATGAAAGAGGGAGAGAAGACCAGATGATCTTGCACATCCTTCTTCATATTTTTCTTTTGTCTTCCTTTGCATTTCAGTCACTACAAATTCCTACAATAGCCCAAAAGACCTATTTTTATTGTCACAATTCCTCACCTGATGTGTCCAAGATATAACTGAAATCCTCAGCCATGAGCTATGCCCCAGGCAAGCAGAGCCTCTCAGAGCCTTTGGGTTAAGTGTACTGAGTTTTACAAATCAAATTCTACAATCACAGATTGGTTCTAGGAAAGATGACATTTTCCTGACATCTGGTCAGAACACTGATATACTTTTATGTCTTCAAGTTTCTGAACTAGGTTAGAGTGCACATGTTCAATATCCTTTGAGATATTCCTCTAATGCATCTGGACCTTAAAAATGGAGCCAAATATCTCCATGGTGGTGGGTTTACAGCTCCACAGGCTCAACTGAACACTGGTTTTGCTCAACTTTCTGTGTGATTTGAGTCTATAATGTCTTGCTATAGATGTTTCTGTCCTCCTCAACTATTTGAAACACAGGTTGGACTGCATGTGACCTCAGATATTAACTCAGATATTAACTTTTGTCTTTGTATCCTTTGGATCTGAGGATTTCTCACAACCAAAGAGGTTTCTGGACGGAGTTGAGAGCAACTTCCTGACACAGATGATTGAGCAGCCAACAAGGAAAAGTGCTCTGCTGGACCTCCAACTCACAGACAGTGGAGAACTTGTTGAGGATAGAAAGGTCAGGGCCAGCCTTGGCTGCAGTGACCATGAGCCACTGGAGCTCAGACTCCTGAGAGAAGACAGCAGAGCAAAAGGCAGGACCTCAACCCTGGACTTCAGGGGGGCAGACTTTGAAGTTCTTCAGAGATCTGCTTGGAAGAGTCCCTTTGGATACAACCCTGGAGAGAAGAGGTGTCCAAGAGAGCTGGTTGGTATTCAAGAGTCTCCTCCAAGCTCAAGAAGGGTCCATCCTGAGAACTAGAAAATCAAGTAGAGGCAGTAGGACTCCCTCATGGATGAGCAAAAAGCTACTGACTGAATTTAGGCATAAAAATAAAGTGTGCAAGAGGTAGAAGCAAAGAATCCAGGGCCTGCTGTTCAACTATGCAGGGATTTCAGGAAAGAAATAGTCCAGCTTGAATTGAATTTGGCAAATGATGTAAAGGGGAACAAGAAAGGATTATACAAATACAACAGCAGCAAAAGAAGGACAAGGGAAAGCTGCTAAGTAGGGCAGGGAAACTGGTGATAAATGACATGGGAAAGCCTGGGTTACTCAGTATTTCATTTGCCTCAGTATTCACACTTAAGAATGGCCTCCAGGAATACCAGGCCCCTGAGACCAGACGTAAAGTCTGGAGCAAGACATACCCTTTGGTGGAGGAGGATGAGGTTACTGAGCACTTAAACTGAACACACATAAGTTTGTGGCGCCTGATGGGATGCACCCACAAGTGCTGAGCAAGCTGGCCAATGCCTCTGCAAAGACTCTCACTTGTCTTTGAAAGCTCACAACAACCAATACAGGTTCTTGAAGACCAGAAGAAAGCAAATGTCACTCCTATTTTCAAGAAAGACAAAAAGGAAGACCTGGGTAACTACAGGCAGGCTAGCCCTATCTCAATCCCTGGGAAGATGATGGAACAACTAATTCTGGAAACCATTTACAAACACAGGAAGATAAAGACAGACAGGATTAGTAGCATTGATCAGGATTAGTAGCATTGATTTACAAAGGGGAAGCTATTTAGATAGCTTTAGATCCTGAAGCACTCTACAAAGGCTTGGATTTTGGCCATTTCATCTCTGACAAGTCTATTTAGTGATAATTTGAACCTGGAAAGTTATTTTGTAGAACACTATTCTAGCCACTGCATGTGTCCTCTTGGCATAGACACCATTATGTTTGGTCTGTAATTATTCCTACTGGGAGACTTACTGTGTTAGAAAGCTAGAGTACAAAACCTAGATAGTCTGTAAATTGGGCATTTAATCACTGACGCAATCACTGCCATATTTCTTTACTCTTCATCTGGGATCAGGTGCCTGGGGTAATTCTGCTGTGTGATCAGAAGAATATCAATGTACTGCTACTGTTTCATGCATGGCAGTTTTTTGCAACATGGGCTTGATTTCAGGTCCTCAACATACAATTGACAGTGCAGTTTTCTCTCTGATTAACAGCAGTTGCCCACGCAGGAGACTGTCATGGGATGCTGCTGAGATGAACGATCTTTTCCTTGACCCTCCTCCCCACTTCACCTTAAAATCTGTTTATCAGTTCTCTCTTCCTTGTCACTTTGTTGTGTTCTGCCAGTCTTTAAGTAATTTCTCCTTCTCACCTACCTCAGGGTGGCCAGACACAAAATTAAACAGGCTTTCCTATTGGGAATAAGGGGACCCTTTCCATTGCCTCCAAACCGAGAGAGGTGTCTCTCCTAGCCTGACTCTTCCTGGAACCCTGCATTCACAGGCACCTTTCCAAAGCACTTAGCAATGTGTGCTTACCACCAGCTCACTGCATGTAGCCAGCTGCCAACAGAAGGGAGGTAGAACAAATTCATTTCCTTCGTGCCTGATGAGTTGCAGCCCGGGCCCACCAATCACAGGGGAGTCCCTCACAGCACCAGATCGTCTCATTAAGAAGTCTCTCTGCCACGGCTGTTGACAGCAGCTTCTCTCTTTTGCTTTTCAGTCTTTTTTCCAGTGAGTGTTTGCATCTCAGCTGAGCTTAGAAACTGAAATCCTGCAGCTGTGCATTTCCTCCCACAACCTAAGCCAAAGTGGAGGCAAGTCCCTACCATGCAGCTGCCCTGGTTGCTGCAGGCTGATGGCCTCAGCTGCTTTGGGGGAGGGCACCAGCTGCACAGGGGCACTCCAGGCACTTCTCTACTCTGCAGCTACCTGACTAAGGTGAAGCAGCAAAGGGTGGTTCCTAACAGGATGGGGGAATGCCTCCCACCCACTCAGACACTGTGCACCTCTCTGCACCCCTCAGGTGATGGTACGCACACACTGCCCACCGGAGTCACCTCCAGGCTGATACCTTCACTCCACAATACATAGCTGCTCTCACTTGCAACCTTTTCTCGTTTGCTCTGACTCGAGTTTTATAGGGCCACCATCCTTGGATTTACCAATGTTTTTCATATTTACTTGGAAAGCAGACAGGACTACAGGGTTTTAACCAATTTTAGCATGTGGCAGCCTGGAGAGGGTTTTCTGAAAAGGCACCCCATCCTCTTGCACACAGAAAACCCATTGCTGAAGATCGTTCAAAAGAGTCACCTCCTCCTTCCACACAACACAGTCCCTCCCCAGCTGGCATCCCTTTCACTCTCTTCTGAGTCTCAACAAGAGTAGAGTGTGGCAAGCAAACATGCTGCTGCTGGCAGTGCTTGTTGCCACAGCCACTTGGTCTTGTAAGTACTTCCTTCTTATTCTACCTTCCCTCACAGGTACTCATGGCTATGCTAACAGGCATCTTTTACTGAATTCCAGCTAATTACATTATTTCTCCTTTTTCCTAGATGGATTTGCACAGGAAATTCCCATGCAGAGTCCTATATCCATCACCAAGTTCCAAAAAAGTGCACGAATGACATGTGAAATTCAAACATTAGGGGCAAATTTTGATGGTGCCGTCATACACTGGTATCTGCAGAAGGAAGGTGAAGCTCCAAAGAGGCTCTTGTTCCTTTCAGGAGGAAAAGCTACGGTTGAAACTGGCTTTCAAGCAAGCAGATACATGGTTGAAAGAATTTCTGGTCAGCGACGGTGTGTTCTTACAATAAAAGATGTAATTCCAACTGATGCTGCTACTTACTACTGTGCCTACTGGGATCCTCACTGTGATAGAAACTCAAAGATCATCAAGGCAAAAAAACACCTGCAACGTCTGAACCACAGGGTTGTAACTGTGCCATTCCACCAGTCTTCTCACTCCTTCTGATGTGAGTTGCTGAAAGGTCAAACCCTTTCCTGCTTCCCAAAGAGAGTAGCTAACCCTGCACAACTGTTCTTTTCAAAGTCTGGGTCATCATTAGGACTCCTGTCTTCAACACACATCCACTATTTTAAGGACAAAGGAAATCATCACTGCCTTAGGACTTAGCACGTAATTGCTGGACACTCCCCTGCTCCTTTGGTGCTGTTTGCACGCCATGGCAGAAGTCTGGTGGCCTTTAGGGGAGCAAACAGAGAAACATTGATTTTCTAGTCCAGCCACTGTTCTCCCCTAGGAAAGAGAAGGCAGCAAAAGCAAGACAACATACTGAAGGAAGTACTACCTTGGAGGATGGAAATTGTATACTTGGCACTGTCTATCACATCTAAGTAAAAAGTTCCCCCTTATATTCTTCCCTGTTGTACATGTACCAGCTGTTAGCCCCTGGAAAAACTGTAAGCCCTGTTTACCTAATTCAGATACCACAAAATCTCACACAGACCAATTTAAATTAGAGATTTACAGTCTCTTGTCCGCCACAGCTAATGATGTGCTACATATAACCATTGCCTTATTTCATTTTGTGTTAAGACAAATAGAATAAACATCATTTTATTTGAAGAAGGATATTTGCTGAAACTGTCAAGTATGATGGACTCACTTCAAATTTGCATGAAGTTAGTGTATGGCCCTGAGCACAGCAAGCATTTCACAGAAAAGCATAAGAGGAATAGTTTTTGCTTGTGACTATAGCCAAGTGTGTGCCTACTCTTCAGCTTTTCTTTTCCTGATGAGGGGTGTAATTGGATACTTGAAATGCTGGGGCATCACACAGTATGAGCAATGGGACTTCAGAAGTATCAAGCTAGGTGTGAATAAACATTACACACCAGTATCCTCCTGTCTTGATTGTCTTAAATGCAAAGTTTAAGCAGACAAGTGCTCAGTGATTTCATATAATCACATAATCATATACTAATAAAATGGCTTGGGTAGAAAGGGAACTTAAAGGTTGTCCAGTTTCCACCCCCCCACACCATAGACAGGGCATCTTCCACTTGATCAGGTTGCTCAGGATGATATCTGTAGGAGCAGCTGGATGGACAACACCAGCCACCTGGATGATAAAAGAAGAAGGAAATACTAAAGCAAAAATATTGTGGTCCTGAGTGAACCAGAGCTAAGATTAGTGTGTATGTGAAAAGAATCACAAGGTCAAGCTGGAAAGCCACTTGAAGCATGATTGTTCTCTGTGGCTGGAAGCAGTCACATGGGGGTGTGTGGTATGTGGGGAGATAAGGAAACATCTTGCTGGCTGGAGAGCTTGGACCGGGGCTTGGTAGAGAGTCTGTTTATAGAAATGGAGTAATAATGTTACAAGAGAGTTCTTCCTGGACAAAGTCTGTCTCCCATGGATTCATTTGCCGCAAACAGTGCAGAGTGAGGGACCTTTTTTTCTACAGATATCCAGTCTGGACTTAAACACTTCCAGGGAAGAGATATCCACAGCTTCTCTTGGCTGTCTATTCCAGTGCCTCACATCTTGCAGAGTAACGAATTTCTTCCTAACATCTAATCTAAAACTCCTCTCAAGTTCAAAACAGTTCCCCCTTGTCCTATCACTATCTGCCTGTGTAAAAAGCCACTCTTCCTCTTTTTTGTAACCCCCCCTTCAAGTACTGGAAGGCTGCAATGAGGTCTCCCCTGAGCCTTCTCCGGGCTGACCAACGCCAGCTCCCTCAGCCCGTTTTCATAGAAGAGATGCTCCAGCCCTCTGAGCATGTTTGCAGCCTCTGGACCTACTGCAGCAGGTCCACGTCTTTCTTGTGCTGAGGACTCTAGACCTGGTCACAGCATTGCAGTTGAGGTCTCAAAAGGGCTGAGTAGAGGGGGAGAATCACCTCCCTTGACTTGCTGGCCACCCCTTTTTAGATACAGCACAGAATGCAGTTTTCATAGCACAGGATATGGTTGGCCTTCTGGGCTGCAAGTGCACATTGTTGGGTTATATCCAGCCATTGGTCCATCAGAAACCTCAAGTCTTTCTCTGCAGGTCTGCTCTCAAAGCGTTTTTCTCTCAGTCTGGACTCATGTCTGGGATTGCCCTGACCCAGATAAGCACCTTGCACTTGGAGTTGTCAAACCTCATACTGTTCTCCTGGGCTCATTTCTCAAGTCTGTCCACATCCCTATGGATGGCATATTTCACTGTATCCTGTTGTTATCATTAGGGCTAGTCAATGGTGTGATGCACAATTCTCAGCCAGGAATTGGTAATGCCACATCCTGTCTCTGTTCATAGAATCTCATGGAAGCTTTCCAAAGTTTTCTCTTAGTTCAGTGAATACTTTTTTGTTGTTGTTTTCTGCCTTTTGTATGCAGTGGCTTGCAGCATCCAGCACTACTGCACTTGCAGTGGTGCAGGCAACATTGCCATTTTTTTCAAGAAACCTTACCTTGTGGTCCTGTCATGGTCTCAGAAAGCTTTCTGAACCAGATCTCATCCTCATCAGAACATGTGTCATCACTATACCCATTATATGATAGTGAAAGTGATGTGGACCATTAAGAGTCCCATTTCCAGTGGTTTCCCTTCCTTTCCCTTCCCTTCCCTCTGGCTTGATGCACAGGGTCACTAGCTGACTCCCGAGTCCACTCTTCCTCCCATGTGGCATTGCTCACTCTGCTCCAGGGCTGGCTTCCTTCTCTCTCAACAACAGCAAAGCATGGCATGCTTGTAGCCATAGCTGCTTGGTCTTGGAAGTCATTCCTTATGTTCCTTCCTTTCCTCAAAGGCACCTCTTGCAACCCGCCCCAGAAAGGGGAGGACAACCCGGGTTCTTATTAATAAATCTCTTGGGGTGGATTAGAGTGAAATAGCATTGAATAATCAGTGTTTGTAGGGTTTATTTTGGAAAAATTTTGTTGCATAGGTGAACAAGTATGTTGCTGTTCTGGGTATTATCATCTATAGCAATATAGCAACATTAGAGCATAGCAATATAGCACTATTAAAGCATAGCAATATTAAAGCATCTATAGCATCATAACAATATTAAAACAAAGCAATATGGCATTATTAAAACATAAAGATAACACTTAAGGAAATGCATAAGGGAGAGAAAGGGAAAGAAAGGATAAGGATGGAAAGATAGGTATAGTCACTGTCCACTGGATCCAGCGATGAAAGTTGGTAGTTGCACCTTCAATGTCTGTTGATTGAAGTGATGATCTTGCTCTGTTGGGGCTGGGGGAAGCCCCCAACAAAACTCAAAGATGTTATGAGTTATTACACACTTCTAGCTCAGGTGGGAACGCCTTGTGGCGTCCCCGAGGTGGGAAGTTTTTCAGTGGATAGTGTCATGGGACATGTCGCTGAGTCTTCAACATCTCCTAAGACAGCTGCAGCTACAGCATCAATCATGGTCCATCATGGTCTGACATTTGAGATGCATAGCCCAGGCTAGATGTGCAGAGTTATCTGTGAAGGAACAAGATTCAGGATGGGAGAGGTTCCAGGCGTGGAGAAAAACATACAGCAATTGACAGGACTTTATGACACGGACTTAATAGTTCTTATGTGTTTATAAATATATACATTGTATGTTTCCCCAAGATTTGTATCTCCCGGGCATGTCCAGGCCTGCCGGCTTCCCTGCTTCCCTGCTCCCCTCTCTGACAGGCTGAAGAAGCTGCAGAGAGGAGACAGTTACCATTTGCCCTTTCCTTCCCCGATTCCTCCCACGTTCCTCCCCCTTTGCCTGTGTCCCTACCCCGATTTGTTCCCCTGTTTGTCTGTCTCATGCTCCACCCCACAGTCTAGCCCTTTCCCCACCTGAAACTCATAAAACCCCTACACCCCTCAATAAAGTATTCCATTTGCACCTCTACCTTGTCTCCAGACCCATCCGTGCTGTGTCACGGCCCCATCCCCCCTCGGACCGTGGCAGTTATGTAAAGGGAGGACATTGGCATGATAAGAGGGATTTCTCACACCTTGCAGGATTTGCCTCTTAGCCTCTTTCCTTACCTGGAAATCCACTTTGTAGTGTCAGGTGTGCATCTGCACCCAGGAGAGTTGGACAGTGGCACCCATTTGTCTGATCTGAAGGTCCTTTGGCAGTATTCAGGGAGGGGTGGGCTTTGTTGCTTCTTGTCAGTTTGTGAAATTCTTTTGGTGATCTTAGAATGTGTAAGTCATTAACTGTTACAGTCTCTGACAGCACCCATGACTGTGCTAACAGGCATCTTCCCAAATCCCTGAATTCTGGTTAATGAACGAACTTTTCCTCTTTTTTTCTAGGTGGCTTTGTGCAAGAAATTCCCATGGAGAGCTCTCTGTCTGTCACCAAGTCTAAACAAAGTGTACACCTGGAATTGTCCTTTTAAAGGTGACTCTGAAGATTTTGGTCACACCACCATGACAATGTTTGTATCAAAAGAAGGCAAAAAAAGCTTCAGATAGGATTTTCTGCTTCTCAGGTGTAAAAGTAGTAAATGATGGCTTCCAAGCATACAGGTACATGACTGAAAACAATTCTAGCCAGAAACTGTATTCTAACAATACACAATGTCGTTCCAGATGACATTGCTACTGACTATTGCCCCCACTGTTACAGTCACTGTAGTAGAAATTCAGACATCAGAGGCTCCCTCAGCGTCTCAACAACAAATAACTTGAAAGATCCCAGTATGCTTCCTTTGGTGTGGATGAGCCATCTGGTGCAGATGTAGGCTGTGGAATAACAGGATATAGTCAGTGCTGACTGATCCCTTGGAAACATCAGCTGTCGAAAGCTCAAGATTTTGACTTAGCAAGGGCAAATGGAACAGTAAAGGTTCAACACCTAATCCATCCTCTTCATTCCAGATTCTTCTCCTTATCACTCAGTCATATCAGTGATCTGGTTGTAAGGGTTTATTTAATGGAAAAGGGCATTTTTCCACATTGTTGTTCCTGAAAATAGGCTAGCATGTTGTACTGTGGCTCTTCAAAGAATTTGACCTGACAAAGAAAATTGAAATAGAGAGCTTTAGCCTGAAGGTTCTTAAAAATTTTAAGCAAAGGAAAAGGAGAGTTCTTTTAGTTTGCAAGTCAGCAGCTGTCAGAGGAGGAAGATTTTCTATTTATTGACTGAGATTTGGAGGTGGGTATTTTTGTTCTCTTTTTTGGGAGCTGTATCATTCCCTTTCCCCATGTTCTTGCTTATCACTATATGTGTTTCACTGGTGTTGGATCTAAATCATCCAAAAGATTGGAGATAGAGTTAGCAAAGTTAGGAGAAAAAAAAAACCAAACAAGGCTTTCCATAGTTAAACCCAACTTTTCCTACTTGTGTTTCATATGCAATGCATCCATCCTAGTTACTACCTCAAGGTGCGTGCTGACTCTAATGCCTGAGAAATTAATCCATAGAGCTTTTTCTCTACCATTAAGCCTCTCCCTAATATTCTCCTTTTGCTGTGAGACCCTGAAAGTCTCCTCTCGTGGTTCATTGAAGTGTAACTCTTTAAAGAATATTAATCTGATGGGATGAAAAAGTGACATAATTTCAAATGTGTATTAGGTCTCCAAATGACTGTAAGTCAGTTTTATCCTGCTCATACTTGCAAGCCCAGATCATACAGGGGAGTTGACAAGCTATCTTCAGTATGAAGTGTTTCACTTCAAATGAGACCTTCCAGCTACTCACTGTTATCAACATAAATCCAATAGCACCTGCAACTGCAGGTGATATGGTGGTGGTCTCCTTTACTCTGTGTCTAAGGACGTGGCAGGAAAAGCACCGG